TATCTCAAAATACTCCACCAATTTTGGCAAACACTATCAATATTGTCCGTTAGTTGTGTTTCTAGGTACTGATACGTCTTATACAGGGTGTCCCAATACTACGCACTGGTGTTAGTCCTTCATACTTAATGTTTGGTAGAAATATCAGGTCAAGATTAGACCTACTGTAACCATACAAGCCATTTAAGTATAAGAACAGTCTAATCCAAATTAGAAAATTTCAACTGGAAGAAAGAGTGAATGCATATATAAAGATAAATGGGAATATATGGTAGAATTTCAAAAATATGATGAAAGTCTCATTATCTAGTTACTTGGGATAATGTTAGAAGATGGAAAAGACATACAGACCAAATCTGTTCGATTGATGTAAACACACCGACAATTCAAAGCGATGTTTTATTAGGGCATCCTAGTCCAGCATTAATTCAAAGTGAACTAAGCGTCAGTCTCACACCTACAGTGTCACAGCCTGTCACCAGCACCCAGTTGCCCCCAACTCACAATACGGAGGAAAATCTTGGAATATCAGGGTTGAGTCCACAAACTGAGAATCTATCACCTACATCGGGTTTGCAGTCTTCGCAGACACAACCAGATGGTGCTCCTGTATTTCGAAGGTCTGGCAGGACTATAAGTCCTCCAGACTGGTTAGAAGTTTTTCTTCAAGTAGGAGAGGAAGTGTTATATACTTGATAGATAGACAACTATTTTGTGATGTGTACTTGTGGTTGCATGAGAAATTACTAGAACTGTACATTTTGACTTCTGACATTTGATATATATCCGTTTCCGTTTTTGGCATTTTCCGGGAGTTAAGTCGAGTAGTGTAGTTAGAGAAAAATACTTTTGTAAATTACCAACTACGACCATCTTCAATTTCAAGAGTATTTCCGACGACTCAGTGCTCTATTTCTTCGAGTACAAATATATACATTCGAAACTACATACACAACACTTTCATTACCCGTAATATTTTTTTAATTATGCTAAGTAACTAAATTATTCCTTAAACAGAATTTTCTGGAATCAGTTTAATTGAAATTAATTACTAATAAACTAATTTGCTTGAAAATAGCAAACATATACTTGTTTCATTAAACTAATAATTAATTTAGGTAATCTAGTTTATGTGGAAAAGATAAAGTTAAAACAAATAAACATTTTAATAACACTTAAACTGCTTCTTTGCTTTGCGAACTCGGCAGGACTCGGTCCTGCATTCGTGAATGATCGGAAGTATGCGACAGACGCAGTACCGGTAACGCGCTTCGAACTCTTCAGTTTCATTTGTGATTTTAGCGAGGGGCTTCATATTCAAATGTTGCTGTTGTTGATGTGAAGTAAAAGACGTGCTAATAGCTCTGTTACAAAATGTTGCAAGCGTTGTGGTGTTATCGCGAAAAGTGGTCCGCAATGTGCTAATTGTAAAACTGTCATACATGCAGGATGCGTCAAGTACGAGCCCCTTCTCACTTCAGTTGGCCCACTTCAAGATTTGTACCAAAATATGCCTTTATAAACTAAACATGACGAAACTATTTACTTTTAAAACAATTTATATTCTCAAAAACATTTTAGATACACTCTAGTCGTAAAAAATACATATTTGAAATCACTTAGACCTATAACTAATAGAAGATCTGAACAGATAAACAATGTGCGAATAAATGCGCGAAGTTAACAAAGCAACAATTGAAAGATTACCATTGGGTAACATCACCTTTATTTTTTATTACGACTGAAATTTTTTGGGGCATAGTGTTAACCAAGTTTTGGCAAAAATTTGATGTAAAACAATCCCATATTTCTTGAAGCTTTTGTTCCAGTTCAGTGATTGTACGAGCAGGATGTTGTCGTAGAACCTTTTTCATCTCGTGCCACAAAGTTTCAATAGGTGACAGATCTGGACTGCTAAAAACCCATTTCAAAAGTGGTACATTATTTTTTCTTCCATCCATTTTATAGCCTTTTTTGAGGTATGGCACGCTGCATCATCTTGCTGAAACACAAAATATTGACCGGATGTCAAATATTCTTCCATCATTGGTAAAAGCGATTCTTCTAAAATTGCCAAATATGTGTTTGTATCAAGATTTCCATCAATAAAATGAAGTTTTGCTACTCCTTTTGATGACGTACTGCCCCAGACCATAATGGATGCTGGAAATTTCACTTTTCTCTTCAGACAGTCAACATGGAATGCTTCATTTTTTTGCGAATAACTCTACAGCGACTGTCACCAATTTAAACTTCGAATCGGGCCTCATCACTCCATTGTATTGCACACCATTGTTGAGGTGTCCATTGTATATGTTCTTTAGCCCATCTAAGCCGATTTTTCTTTTGCTGTGGAGTTAATAGTGGCTTTTCTTTGGTCTATAAACAAGTTGTGTAACTTTAGGATTTTGACTTCACTTTTTTTATAAGAAAACTTACCTTGCAAGTGCTAAATCCCAGTTTGTGGGCCTCCCTATGAGTTGTGGTCCTCGAAGTTCTCCTTCCAACAGCGTCACTCCACAGAGCACTTAATTGTAAATAATTCTTAATGCTCTTCGGTCGGTATTTGTGATATTACTTTTTTTCACATATCGTGGCTTAATATTAACTGAAACAGTTACGTTATATCTTCTAACCATATTTCTCACACTGTACCGCGATAAGTCTAACAAAGTTGCAATTTCTGAGTTTGATTTCCCAGAATTAAAAAATTTAATTATCAGTAACCGAATTTTCTCACTAATAACCTTGCCTCTACCCATTTTGAAAACCTTAACTACCCAAAACTATTTTAAACGTATTCTGACAGCTGTGATTAATAAAAACAATTGTTATGGCTTTTATTTTTCACAGCCACCTATGCGTTATAGACTTATTTTGCAGTCAAATGACAATAGGTTGATATGCTGTAATTGCAACATGTGTTATTTTTATGCTGCAAATTTGATTAGGGAGTAATAAAGTTATTGTTTTCTACTATATACTATCAAAATATTCATTGTTAATATTTTAAACCTATAACACCCTGCTACATTTTTATTCTTTCTGTTTGATAAGAAAAAAACTAAGATTTCAATAGTTGGGCCAACTGAAGTGGGAAGGGGCTCGTACATGAAAAACCTGCAGAAGATTGATGATAAATCGGTTATCTGTTGTTCTATTGACGACCCCACAGAAGAAACAATCAAAACAATGGAGGACGAACAGATCGACGAGGATAGCGACATCTCATTTTGCAGTGTGAAAGAAATAATTGATGTAGATATAAGTGAGAAAGACAATCTATTACTAAGGGAAGTAATCAGACATAAGAATTTGATTATCAAAATCCAACAGCAAACCATTAAAAGTTTGCTTGACCAAGTATCAGTTTTATCAAAGATACTGGAACAGACATCGCAATCTGTTGCCGATATTAACAGGCAACAAATTGTATCGTCATGTTATCAAGACGGCAAACACAAGACATCTACCAACAAGTACAGTGATGTTATAAAGAAACCATCCAGGTCATCAATTCAAAAGCCAGTCACATCGAACGCAGCCAATAATACTGGCAACACTGTAACGAGCAGCAAGTGACTCTTGCAGTTTGCAGTCGAGCAGGCGCTGTCGTTAAAGGGTGCTGCAGGCTGCAGTACCAGCAGAAACGTCCGAGTCCACTTTGTCCACTTCAACTCAACAGCCTGGCGACGACGGTGATGGAGTTACAAGCGCGAGTACGTGGCAGTTGGTTGATCGACGACGCAGAAGGGCAGAAGATGCAATCTAATAATTGGGAATGATACCGACAGCTGTCCGGTTAAGGGCGTTGAAAGAAAAGTTGCGTTGCATATTTTGCTTTCATTTGATTAGAATTATTTATTCCAATGTTGATGCGACTAAGGCCCGTACCGTCAGTCGTCCCTACAATTGCAGGGCGCGTTTATGGCCTCCTTGATTGTCATACTCCTTTCTCTCCTTCAAAAATTTCTGGATTACACTTGTCCCGTGTCAGCGTCAGCGCTCTCCTATTGTGAAGATATGTTTTCTTTTTAATTTGTAGGAAATTTCAGGCTGATAAAACATGATATAACTCAAAAGCAAGCACAATTTGATGCAAATAGATGTTTGTGATATAACCTCAAAATAGAGTTCTGACACGGAGAAGTAGAAAACTATGACAATCAAGGAGGCCATAAAGGCGCAGTACAATTGTAGGGACGACTGACGATACGGGCCTTAGTGTCTTGATTTATATTAGAATTATCTCATCTAAATTTAGCAAATAACTTTACGCGATACAAACTATCGCTGCCTGTGTGTACGCAGATAAAAGCCATTTCGAAACAGGACTACACTCTCCTACGAGCGCTAGATGGTTACTGACCACAATCGCCCAACTATGCTCATGAAGGTGGAAACCTTGCCTTGGAATGTACAAGATGCGGTGTTATCAAACGAACCAATGATGCAATGTTGCGGAATATTTGGCGAGCCTGACCTTCCATTTCGACCTAAAATGGAGCGCCGTTGTGACCGATCCGGAATTAATCTTAAACAGATTCGACACAATTCTCAATTCAAAAATGTGTACGCTCAAAGTAAAATTATTATTTGGGCGTAAAGAATATGCTAACCCACATTTTTCAATACGCAACTCAATTCAAAGAACTGGGGTAAGACATTCTGTCTATACATTCTTCTATCTCGTACACATTGAACTCAACCCGTCAGACAAATGTATAGTGTATATTCTTATCACATTCTATTGATGTGAGGTATGGTATTTACGCGTGTGTTTACTGGGAGATAATTTTTTACACCAAGTTACAGCAATATATACCAGTTTCTTGAAACAAAAATGGCAAACTTGGGAGTCTAAGGGGTAGAGTTGTGTGCGACACTCACTCCCCCCTAAATTCGCCACTGTTTGTGATCTAGGCAATATCACTATCGACAGTGATCAACAGTCACATAAACATATCCCACGAAATGTCCGAGGAAAATCAACACAATAATATGTTTATTTTTGCTTTATTCAATTTTGGAATATCCAAAAAGATCACAATCATTTTTAATCATCACACTGGGAAAGTAAACAACGAGTCTTAATAATATGGTTGTAATAGTAAGATGACTTTCTAGGTATCCTTCGTCTTGCAGGATCTGTCATATTGATGTAATACATTCCTGAATGTGCCCTGAAAATATTACATAAATTATGAATAAACATTTCAATATAATGAAACGTTTCTATATAAAGTCCTAAAGAGAATGCAGGCCCCGTATGATGGGGATACCATACATGCATATGTACAATAAAAAGCCAGTATTTTTTCAAAAACTTTTCAATCTGATATGCTGATAAATACATTTTAGATGCGATGCTGGAATATTAGCAAAAAATTGAGTCAAATTTTCTCGATGCTTCTATATTTGCAACAGAATTTACTGTTTAATTTCAATTGCGAGTGATTGATGGTCAAGGTTTTAGATTTTAGTTTACTGAAACATATGATTTACTCACACATATCCCATGTTCCATTCGTAATTATCAATGATACTCCAAGCTGTGTACCCAATAATCCGGATTCCTTCGTTAATGCAATCCAACATGTGGCTCATGTACCTCTGAAATACCACAATCTTAGTAGTTCAGCAGTGTTGTTATTGTTAAGGCTGTCAATAAATTAAAACGTTGTTTCTCCTTCACCTTTGAATCATCTACAACTCTTTGAGACGTCTACCGACGAAATGGAGTTTCTTGGAAGGATTGAGTGAATTTGTCTACTCAAAGAGACAATGATACGTCGCTATGTTCAAAAGTAATCTAATATACTGTGTGAATGATTTACCAATGAGGACGACTGGGTTTCAACGTGTGCGAGATGAAAGCCAGAGAAGCATGCAACACGTATGCTAGAAAGAGTACTACCACAATTAACACGTTGCCTGGAAACAACATCAAGCAAGGACGCGGTATACTTTTAGGCGGTGACGGGTGCGGTATAGAATTGCGAGATGGATAGAACAAAATCAAAGTATATTATATTATACACCATATTTAAATCGTACTTTTGTCGTGGCTTATTGAATAAAGCTATGAGTAGAAATTTTTGTTTGGCAGTGGCTGGTTTCACCCGATTAAGCTCTAAATCGGATACTTAAAAAACACCCAAAGGTTTTAATTATGCCCCACACAACTTCCCCGGAAGGAACAAAAATCCCACCAAACTGGGGGTAATCATCCAATATGACAACGTTATTGACGCGTCGTTTAAGGATTTCGTTCTGGATTGCCTGGGAATTACAGTTGCGGATCAAGAAAGGAGGGGGTGGGGGTATCGGAGGTCCTGAAGCCCCCAAAATATATATATATATATATTTTATATCGAAACAGCCGCGCAGGCAGAAGCCTAAATGCCGGAACACCGCGGCTGCTATGATGATCCCAAAGCAATTTTGTTAATACGATTTTTGAACTGCCTAAGGTTAGTAGAACTGGGAAAAGCTTCCTCTTGTAGATTGTTCCACAATCTAGACACCCTCGGGACAAAGGAGTGCCGTATCGGCCAGTTCTGGATGTACGAAGTTTGACACGGTTAGGATGGGACGCCAAAGTCAGGCGAGTCTGTCTGGCAGACACATTGCGCGGCGGCATCATGGAAGAGAGCTCTGAGGAGCAAAGCCCGTTGGTGTAGCAATAGAAAAGAGCTAGATCGCCGACGGCCCGCCGGTGCGAAAGACTCCCGAGACTGTCTGTTAGAGAAGAGTCATCGATCAGTCGGACCGCCCTCCTCTCGACAGCATCGAGCAAGGACAATGTAGTCGGGGCGGCAGCACCCCAAATGTGTGAGCAATACTCGAGGCTAGGCCTTATCTGGACCTTGTATAGAGTGAGCAGGTCATGCGGAGAAAAGTACTTCTTAGCCCTAAACAAATAGCCTAGCTTTTTCCCAGCAGCTGCAGCTATTGACGAGATGTGTTCGTGCCAGATCAGGTCCTCGGTAATCCGGACTCCCACCAGCCGAAATGAATGGCTCTTTGGTAGAACTCGGCCGTCCATCGAATCTGTATGAGCGCTAGGACGCTTTTTGTTCGTCAAAGTACAGTACTGTGTTTTGGAAGCATTGAACTGTACAAGATTGTTGCGTCCCCAAGCAGTGATAGCCTCCAGGTCTCTTGTCAGAGAAGAAGTCGTCGCTGGTCTTCTTTTTTCCAGCTCAGCGGCAGAGATCGGCTTGTCACTCTGAATTCCTGCATGTAGAGTGCTGTCATCAGCGAAGCTGTGGATTGGGTTGATCGTGCAGGAAAGGAGGTCGTTGATATGTAAGAGAAATAGTGTTGGAGCCAAGACCGATCCCTGGGGAACACCCGCGTTGACGTTGTAGGATGAAGAGGAGAATCCGTCAATTACGACGGATATCTTGCGGCCAGAGATAAAGTCAGCCACCCATCTGCAGAGCTTTTCTGGGAGGCCATAGCATGGAGGTTTGCTTAAGACGGCAGTGTGCCACAGCTGATCGAACGCTTTCGTGATGTCAAGAGCAACGACATGAGCCTCACCATGAGACTGGATGAGTTTACTCCACAGTTGCGTGACGTAAGCTAGGAGGTCCCCTGTGGATCGTTGGTGCCAGAAACCATACTGCCTGTCGCTAATCTAGCTGTGACGTTCGAGGTAGTCCAGAATCTCGCGAGTTATGCACCTCTCCATCACCTTACTTACAACAGAAAGCCGAACTATATTCCTGTAGTTGTAAGGGTCGGTCTAAGATCCCCTTTTTGGGATAGGCTGTACATGAGCAAATTTCCAGTTTTCTGCGAAACTGTCGGATTCATAAGATATCTGGAAGAGACGCGAAAGAACTGGAGCAAGCTCAGCTGCACATCTCTTTAGTACAATGGCAGGAATCAAGTCCGGACCAGAAGCTTTGTTGATGTCTAGCGACAAGAGCACTCGTCTTACGGTCTTATGCCTGAATGTTACCTCCCGCATAGTGTGGGGAACCCTTTGAATTGACGGCACTTGGGCGTTGGTGGGGACGTCCATGGTGGAGTTGGCAGCAAAGATCTTGGCTAGCACTTTCGCCTTGGCCTTTGAGTCGAATACAATACTTCCATAATGACACGTAAGTGGTGAAAGGCTACTGTGTGAGAAGTTCTTTGCAATCTGCTTGGCCAGCGTCCAGAAAGATCGACTGCCATTGCGCTGCGACATTACCCTGTGCCTAACTTTTATGTCATGCCGGTTTTTTGCATTGCGAACCGCTTCGTTAAATTTGTTTCTGGACTCGACGTCGGCTTGTCTGTTCTCTACAGTGGGGTTTTGTAAGTAGGTTCTGTGTGCCTTGATCTTCTGCTGGCGAGCAGTGTCACACGATTTGTTGAACCAGCCGTTGAACCCTGGCTTAGGAACTTTCACTGTGTGAGGGATGTATTCCTCCATTCCGACGTGGATAATTTCGGTTATCGAAGAACAGACAGTTGACGCATCCACGTCAGTGAAACAGACATCTCTCCAAGGAAAGCTAGAGAAGAAGTCTCTTAGCGCCTCCTAGTCGGCATGTCTGTAATGCCAAGTTTTGCGGTCTGTACGAGTTTCTGCTGCCACAGCAGCTTCTGACCGAAACCTAACCTCCACCGTGATCTGAGTTACCCAGGGGGGATAGGACAGCAGTGCTGTAAGGGACAGGATGCGTGGTCAGAAAGATAACCAGCAGGCTACTGGCATGTGACGAGACGCGGGGGAAAAAAGTAGGTCACCAGCTGGGTCAGCCCTTGAGTAAGAGCGAACGCTTCGACTGCACGACCTGCTGCATCGGTCTTATTTGAGCCCAACTAAAGCCCATTCTGGGCATTGAAATCACCGAGAAGAACTACCTCTGAAGCGGGGTGATTAATGTTCAGGAAGTCGATCTGGACGGCGAGATATTCGAGTAGGTCATTCCAGTAATGGTTCGAGGGAGAGCGATAAAGGCAGCACATAAATTTGGGTGATGTTTTGGAGTTGAGGCGAAGCCACAGAATGTCCTTCCGGTCTGATTCCAAAGAAAGATCCCTGGAGCAGGAAAGACTGCTGCGGACAAAAGCCACAACTCCCCCGTTCTTTCTCAGATTGGAGTGCACCTCGTAGTTTGGGAAGTTGGGAAAATATCCGAGATAAAGAAACTGGAACGTGTTTTTCAATTTGCAGACCCCCCCGCTCTTCAAACTTGAGCCGATACCCTCCGAAATCATCAGATGGACCCTCATCCAACAAAGTCTATTTTAGACCCCCACTCTCGGAATGTCCGTGGGGGTGACTCACGCCCTTCTGTAACTACGGCACCTTGTGTCTCCCTGGCGTGACTTAATATTTGCTAGGTGCCCTAGATGCCACGGCGTACTGCCCTTAGTAAAACCCAAGTTATGACCCTCCTTGATAGAATGGCGGACCACGCCGCCCGTCTTCAAATAGGGTGGTTCAAGTAGATCAGGAACTGAATTCATAGACAGCCCCTTGGCTTAAAACGAGATCCTAATTAGGATTGCCTCAGGCAATTCTGAAATAATACCGGCAATGCAAGCTTTACTCATTTATGCCACTACAAAACATACAAATAACTGCTTAGTCGCGATGGTATTGATTAGTGCATCACAGTCAGGCAGTATAAGAGCGTAAATATGATTTGAAAATGGTGTAGCATAATATGCTTTGATTTCATTCGCCCCTCGTAGCAACTCTGTACGGCACCTATTACCGCCACCAAGAAGTACGAGTATAATATATATATATATATATATATATATATATATATATATATATATATATATATATATATATATATATATATATATATATATATATATATATATACAGGGTGACTTCGAAGTTGAGTCATTTATTTTAACAGTGAGTAGATCTGATCAAAAGAAATGTTTTTTATATCCCTTTGGAAGTTTGAGTACCGCCCTGCCTATTATATGCTCGTGTTTGGCGACAACGGATATAATCCGCCTGACCGGTTCATCGCATCGGAAACAAAAAAGCGAAAGAATTTGAAACGTTTATCACGATGTTTTTCGTCAGTCGATAAATCCTGAGTGAATAGTAGTGTGTTGCGTGGCTCAAACGAAATCAAAAATGGCACATGTTTACGAAAATGCTGAACTTGTGGACATGATTCTTATTTACGGGGGGGCAGTCTTTACAAAATGCTCCCGGATGCATCACGGATTTATGCGAATCGGTTTCCCAATCGAGTGCAACCAACCCCTCGTGCCTTTGTTAATGTAGTGCAAAGGGCTCGTGAATCAGGTGACTTAAGACCTCACAGGTGAGGGCATGCTGCTCCAAGACCGCACGATCAAATACAGGTCCGCACTGAAATACTTGTCGGGAGGATACTTTATTAAACAAGGTAACATTTTTTTTTATTTTTTTTTATTTTTACACACATATTTTGGTTTATCTTCCTTCTACAATCATTATCTGAAAATTAATGACTCAACTTCAAAGTCACCCTGTATAATATAGATACGAAGTAGTTTAAATGAGGGCAAAGTTGTGTTTTTAGGTATCCGCCTAAAATGTTTTGAAGCTAAAAGTAGGTCCGGAAAAAGACGGAATTGGGATTTCATACTAATTGCACATTAACATTGCCACTGTTTCTCCTCTACAGAATGATATAATTAAAATTTGAATATGACGTTTCGTCTCTTGTCCTCCCCAGCACCTACTTTGGATTGGATTTTTGCAAACGTTAGCTTTTTTTAAAAAACCATAAATACAATTTCTTAGGTAGGGCTTGAAATTGTCAGATGCTCATTTGTTTCGAATACCGGATTTACTGAGAAATAGTTGTTTATCTCCTGGCTTTATTTGAAATGGGATTTTAAAATAAATTGTATATTAGCATTGCCACCCTTGTGCAAGAGGCAGTAGTCAAATTGTATCTCCATCCTCATTTTTGTTTTGTTCTAATTTAAAAAGTGGAAATGACAACATGTATCTGGAATAAAGTCAGGAAAAAGAAAAACTTATTTTGTGTATACGAAACAAATGACTATCTGATAATTTCAAGGCTTACCTAGGAAATTCTGTTTTTTAAATAACTAGGGTTTGGCAATGCCAATGTGTGACACGTTTTACATTTTTCGAATCGGAGCTAAAAACTATTCATCTGTGAAAAATCCAATATAGCGCCCATAAGAAAACTAAAGTTGATGCTGACTGACAATAGAGCACACGTCATATTGAAATTCTTATTATGCTATCTTGTAGAGGAAAAAAAGTGGTAATGTTGATACGCAATCTATTTATAAACTCTATTACAAATAAAGTCGGGAAAAAACTAAAACGATTTTGGGAAAATTCGTGTTTTCTTCGTCTTTCTCCAGAAGTACTTTTAATTTCGAAACTTTGCAAGCGGCTTTTTGTTAATTAAGTAATTACGCAATTTAAGCGATTTCGTATCTCTCACCGTTTCCGACATCAGAATGGTGAGGTTCAAATTTAAAACACCCGGTATATAACTAAAGAATAATAAACTATTACCATTACTAGACTCTCGCCTCAACGACTGGACTGATGTATAAAGCATCGGAGCGGCCCAACACATTATTAGGGAACGCCAACGATAAAGTGAATCAAAACTTCCTCTTATCTGTATCTAACTGTAAGTAACATTTTATCCAAATAAAACTATTTTCTTTGTGACCGAGTATATTTTAGTAAGGAGATATTGTTTATATGCTTCTTTCGTCCCCTCCAGCAACGTCACTGTCGGAGTTACGTTCTCTTTCGGCGTTATTGCCAAAGGCATTCCAGATTACAACAATAATGGAAATGGCTCCTTTCACTATTTTGAAATGGATTTTATCAAAGGGATCATCCGACAGGACTATGCTATTCCAGATTGCATGAAATCTTTTTTTGCTTTCGTTTTGTTTCCTCACTGGCGTGTACGCTTTCAACTTTACACACTCGAAAACACATTTTTCCGGGGGCGAAAGGTTTTCAGCATCTTTCAGTTTAGAGCTGGAAATTGTCCCATAGCTTACGTGTCTTTTACTTTTAGTTCTTGGCAATCATTAAGACAAAACTTTAAATACCGGAGTATCATGCGTGCCATTGAAAAAATACGAAGCGTTTGATGCTACGAATTTTTAATCTGTGAATATTCTCGCCAAAAGGTAGAGAGCTGAGTGGCAATGAATTGCGGAGAGTACGCTTAGTAGACTTGAAAAATGGCTTAATTAAAGAAAAAAAGCAGGAAGAGATTCCGTTGGTGTGTGGACAGAACAGCGATTGCCAATTATCCATCGACGATAAGTTAGCTTGCAAGTCGTGTTAAAGCTAAATATATATTTTTTTGATGGATGGATGGATTTTGAGGGATGAGCTTATTCGAAATTCTAAACTCCAAAAACTTGGAGTTTAAGTCACGAGCTTTTCTAGTGCGAAGTCAGCCAGATACGTTTAGGATAGTGTCTGACCGAACTTTCAGCTTCGGTTTCGACCAATTTTGGTCCAAATTCAGAGTTTCGGTTTTGGCAGAAAATCAGCCTAAGCTGGAACCGGAACCGAAACTGCGTTCGTATGTTTTCGGGCGCTTTTGGGCAAATTTATTCAAACCAAAGGTCAAATTTGTTAGGGAAAGACGTAGAAAAATTGTAATAATATCAAACTGTTCAATTCTTCTTATCAGGTTAAGTTCTAATGGCCTGTTGCATCAATATAGAATTTAAGTTTTGTAAGGCTACACAAATTTAGGGACTTTTATTTAAGTTGGTAGATAACTCACAAATTATTGGGGAATTCCAGTTCAGGCTCAATTTGAGGCAGAATATTCAAGACTGTACAAACTAAATTTCTTAAAAAATGTCATAGTTACTAATCTATTGGAAATAGTGTTTTCTTCTAGTCTTTGATTAAATCTTCTAGAAAACCACTAGTTATTAGTTCAAGGATACCCAAATCATCGTTTAAAATCATGACCAATAAAATCCATTTTGAATAAAAATGTATTAGACGATATTTAACCTCCAAAAGTTGAACGTTTAGGTTGAACGCAGTTCAAAAAATTTTAAACGGTTGTTTAAGTTTTTTACAAACTGTTGGAAACAAAACGACATTATTTATTTTGTATTTTAAGAGACAAATGTAGTATTGTAGTTTTCTTTAGTCTTGATAATATTTGATAGACTGATTGTTACACATTACACAGAGTTTGTCTTTTTCCTTTAATAAACTGCTATTATTATTAATAATACTAATTGATAAAGACTGAGATTGTTTTTTCTTTATTTTACCACCCAACCTCCTCTATCACACTCCTCAGTTGGAAGATGCGGTTTCGGTTCCGGTTTCCACCGAAACAAGAATTGGACCGAAATTTCGGTTTCGGCTGAAATACTAGGACACCAGTTCGGGATTCTATAGGAATACGAATATTGGGCTTTCGTGTTGATAAAATCTGGTTAGCATCTCAATTAGAATGTATGTGACCGATTTTAGAGCGAGTAAGATTCTCGTTAGTTTTGATTGACTGCTTACCCTATAGTAGGAGATTCTGTCAAAATCATCCAGTTCCCCGGTTCTATCTGAAACTCCATTTTCAGTTACGTAGATTTCATGGTCACCATAAGTTGTCCTCATCCATCTTAATAGTTTATGGAATCCCCACGGTACAACCTAGAAAATATATATTTTTGATTTTGAGGTATCATCAAACTCGATTCCAACGTCTTATGTTGTGCCTGATAAGAAATGTATTACGGGGGCCCGTAATATTAAAATTTCTCAAACAAAAATATATTTACATTTTCCAGGATTTTTCATTCGTATCGTTCATTAACATATTCTTCAAGGAGGAGTAGGACTCATTTTGGTGTATCATTATTTAATGTAGTACTTTCTATTGTTTCTCAAAGCAGAAAACATTCTTTTATACAGGGCGATACAGAATGTTTCCAGGAAGATTGAAGCACAAAAAAGTTATTTATATATGGGATGATTTTCGGAATTTACCTTCAATTACAAATAATTACTCTTATATTTTTCCTAGAGTGCACTGTTTTCGTAAAAATAAAACAAATTAGATCATTGATGAAGAGCGGAGATTAGTTTCAAAATAAAATAGGAGGCCTTGCTATGTGTTATATGGTTGATATCGTAACTACCATCATTTTTTTTTGTTAAAGTCAGATCAAAGGTCTCTTTTATCCATTTTTGAGTGTTGTGAAATGGAATTTATGCAATGGTGAGTACGCCGATACTATTTTTGTGTACGGGTTCTGTAATGGAAATGCTCTAGTGACTTATCGGGAGTATTAAGGTAGATTTCCTAACAGACGCCAACCTACCCCAAAGGTTATTACGCGTTCATTTCTAAGACTCCGGACATATGGAATTGCCAAACTTCCCGGTGTTAGAGGTCATGTGTCCGGCATACTATTCAAGAGGAACTGGAAGTGATTAATTTGGCATTGGATGGTCCTAGTACAAGTACTAGGCGCATTTCAGCCCAGTTACCATGTGACCTAATTCTAGCGTAGCGAATTTTTAATCGGGAAGTTTTACATCGTCAAAATATGCAATGTCTTCAACCCGGCGACGAAGTGCAACGGCAACATTTTTGTGAATGGTTACTGCAAATGCATACTCAAAGTAAAGGTTTTATTGATTTGGTTTTTTGCTCAGATGAATCGCTTTTTACGAAGAGTGGAACCTTCAATTCTGATCATGAACATATTTGGTCGTTAGAAAACACCCGTTCTGAACAAATCCACTCGTTTCAACACATATTTTCTAGAAATGGCTGGTGCGGCATTTTCAATGGCCAACTGTTCATGCACGTATTGCCACAACGTTTAAATGCAAAGTCGTACTTAGCTTTTCTAGAAAATTACCTAGAAAATGCGTTAGATGATGTTCTGTTAGCAACGAGAGTACGAATGTGGTCAGCACGACGGTGCTACACCGCACGTTTGTCGTTACACAACTGCATGGTTATACAATCATTTTAGACAACGATCGATTGACAGAAACGGAGCCGTATGTTGGCCTGCGAGGTCTCCTGATTTGAACCCATGGATTTCTTTTTGTGGGGCGCTTTTAAACAACTAGTGTATGCTGAATAAATTAATACTGTTGATCAGTTACAAGAAAGAGTAGATGATGCGTTTCATCAAATTCAAGCCACAACAAATTTTACGGAAAGATGTTTTTCTTTATTAAAAAGATGCCGTACTATGCGTCAGAACGGTGGTCTTTTTGAACATTTATTGAAATAAAGCTTTGATTATCTAATTAATTTTTTTTATTTTTACGAAAACTATGCACTCTAGGAAAAAAATACAATAGTAATTATTTGTAGCAAATTGAAGGTAAAATTCGAAAAATTACGCGTTTTGAGAAAAAAAAACGGTGGCTTACTATTTTTATTTGGGAAAATAATGTCACTAATCCCCTCTATCACCGCCACTAGTGCACGTTAATTTTAAGTAAAGACTTTTGGATGTGGACAATACTTAGGTAAATCCACATTACAAATGTTAGTTCATTCCAGTTGACGGTTTTGAAGATTAAGAAACATGTTTTTTATTTTTAAATTTGAACAACCCGCATCTTTTTAATGAAGCCCTCGAGGAAAAAATGTTAAATAAAAGACGCCCTTAGAATGTGGTCCTGTGTATCTATGAGGTTTCGTTTTTGCTCGCAACTTGTAAATACTGGTTGAGTCTGTCTACATTAATAGAGAATTTCCCGATGTACGATTTGAAATGTTACGTATTTGTTACGAAAAATATGGTTGCATATTGATGAGTTAAGCATGTACAATCGAATATTTATTTTTGAAGAACAGTCAATTAATCGAATATCAGTACATACCTTAAACCAATCAATGGCTGCAGTTTCCCATTCCGGCTTCTGCCATAGTCGTACGCCTGCATCAAGATCCCAACTTGCGTGACCAACTGGAGGCTCAGGGATGGCACTCACCATGTAAGTAGTGTAGTGGTTGATGGAAAGGTAATCAAAGGTACCCTGAAATTAAAAGTTTGAATCTGTATTGGTCATAATTACATTATTAAATTTATCTCAAACTACTAACTTAGTTGCTTTGCATGCTATGAGATGTAATTTGTAGGTCCTCTACTTGGCGCATTGAACAATCGGGTAGAATATATCCCTATCTGCTCATTTCAGGACTTTTGCACATCATGTGCTTTGCAATTTTGTCTAAAAGTTGCATGATCTGCATTCGGGGTCATCCACAAAGCCCTCTTCTGCATGTGGTGTTGTAATCGGTTTCTACCCCTGTACAGTATGCCAAAAGAGCTTTAAGCGTTTTTCTGTTGAGTCTGATAACGTTTTCGCAAGATTCGGTATATGCAAATGCTTTCATTTAACTAACTGTGGTAATCCTGTCCAGTCTTGGTTGGATGTCCCTTCCCATTTCTGATGAAATTATATCTCTCTCGTACTATAAAGGATGAACAAATGCTTCTTCTCGCAACTCTTTCTGACTAGGTCAGGTATGATACCAAGAGTTGATTTGTGCCGTTTACTACCGGAAGCGGTCTTTATATTCTCATGCCTCAGTTGTCGTTCCTTGATATTTCCAGGTTTTCAAACTGGCTCATTCTCAATATTATTTTCGGTGCGAATATTCTGGATTCAACACCCATTTCGATCTTTGTGGCCGCTCGATATTAATGCCAATCTGACCATGCTTGGATCAAGCGAAACACGTTAATCGTTTTATCATGCAACTTATTATAACTAATGTACTTCTCGATCAAGCGTTAAGAGCAACTATAACTTACAGATTATTGTATTTTACAGTAATCAATGGATTTACTCTGGTTTTACCCACCTTTAACAAACGCTGCTGATATGGTGAGAAGTCTGGTAATCTGGAGCGATTGAAATGTTCCAGTTGACTACGGATTGCAACTCGATCAATCATCACTTGAGGCCAGTTACCGTATATGATGGGATTGGCGTACATGCCGTACTGAAATAAAAATAACACAATAGCTTTTTGTTAAAGAAATGCAGTATTGAAAGAGTTCCTCTTCATAATAAATTAACGGTAAATTAACAAGTAATGAAATACACGGTGCCATCAAAAAGTAATACGCAGCATTTCGGTGAATCAGAAAATGCAAAATGCGCCTCGATTGATCAAATTGTTAAAACGGTCAGAGGCTTAATCTAGAATCCGTATATGCGCCAACTGTATAGGGCGTTCCGCTATAAATTGCCCTCGTCTCTAACTTTTTTTTATGGCCACTTAGAAAAGAAGCCTTATACAAAAATTGTGTGATTTTCAAGCAATGTATTTTTAATACATGTACGTGTTGCCTGTTCTGATTGTTCCATGTGTACATATATCGAGATCATATTTATTCACATCTTTTTGGTCAAAAACTTTGTGTATTAGCGTATCATGTGTATCCAAGTTCAAATAAGCTTGCATATAGTCGCTGATGAAATCTGGTAGAGAGACTGTGAGTTTCAGACTAAATTGATGAAAATAGGTATAACAAACCACATATATTTTGAACAGAAAGTACTATCATCACAGTAAATGGCTCTCGTATAAACTAAATTCCAGATTACATTTCGACAGCTTTATCCTTCATCGTGCAGCAATTCAAAATTAAGTTTGATCAACACGATTTGGTTCTATCAAATGGTCATTAAACCCGCGATCACCTACAGATCTTCGGCTTGGTGTTTTCTCATGCAAAGACTGCAAGTCGTGCGAAACAGAGCCCTACACACAATCACCAACGCCCCTTGGTACGTGTCAAACGAGACCATTCACAAAGAACTTTTCATCCCATAGCTAAGGGATTACGTAAAACAAGAGGCACAGCGGCGTTATAATGAAGCGGAATCGTACAAAAATACTCTGATACATGATTCAGCAGACTACACAGTCTAGTAACTTCGCAAACACTCCAAGACGCGCCTCGCACTGTGAGCAAAATTAAACTGTGAATTTCAGACCAGCCAAAATTATTTCTTTATAACATACTGATCAAAGTTATTTTTGGAATTACAAAATTATTTGAGTAATCAAACCAAAGATGCCTAATTTTTTTTTACTCCAAATGATTAACTTTTTTCTTTGCTGTATTTCTTATTTCCTTTCTGTCTCACCCTTTTTCCCTTGAACTCGTTTGGGACTTGGGTAGGCAGATATGACAAATTAATAGACCCACTACACTTTTAACTAAGAGCGAAGGACCACCGGACCGCTTTGACGAACAACGACTACTAGTTACTAGTATCATTTTTACAAAAAATATACAACTAAAAAAATTCAACTTTGTTCGATATACCTTTTCTGAGACACCTTAACGTAAAAGACATTGACTGAAAAATTTTATGTAAGTCACTATTGTACATTACTTCTTTTCTAAAAAGACATACTAAAAAATAATAGGGATGTCAATTTATTGCAACTCACTCCGTACTATTCTGGTGCCAGTTTATAAGAACGCTGATATAAAAAAAGAATGAGTCGATAGTAGGTATCAGTTTAGTAATAGGCAAAGTCAGTGTTTCAAATCAAACTATGACTCATATTTATTAGGACTGCACTCAATTATGACTTCAATCTTGAGTGAAACTAGTGAACGAGTTGATTGTCCACGTAAATTTACGTCTGCGTTTTGTCAAAGACCTTCCTGATTTGAAGCAGTTGTGCCTCTTAAGGCATTTATGAAATGATCACCAAATGTTTCATACATATTATACAGTAGATTCAGACAATATCATCTGCAGTTTCTCAGTGACCTGAATTGCATGAACTTTACGGTATTTTTTATGAATTGCAGAAAGATATTGAGCTCACCACAAATTGCCTTCTAACTTCCGCGGCGGCTTCATCTGCAGGAGTTCCAGGTTCGTACCAATCAGAATCCAGCACAATTGTGATCTTACCTAAAATAATTAAACATTGGTGATTTTGTTATCACTGACTCTCCTGGTATATTTTGGGAAAAACGCTTGGACACGTCTAATTTGATTAATAGTGGGACGTCTGTTTATTTATGACCATACATTACAGTGTGATCCAAAAATAAGATGTTGCGTTACACTTTAGGTTTTTAAATGGAAACCCCCATTTTTCAAATTTCTGGATTCTCCATGAAATTTTTAGTAACTTTTGTATAATGAAGTTTATACCTATCTTGAATCGTTGTGAAGCTATTTGAGTTTATAATGCAATTCTAGATATTGTGATAGTAAGGGATTCTATTGTAAAAATAATCACCAATATCGTTCCCATAGTAACAAGACTATACTTTAAAATTAAAAACAACTATCCAAGTATTAAAAAAACAAAAAAAAATTACAGCTTACATGCTCATCAAAGTTGATGTAAAAATTAGTTAACTATAAAGAGGTGGGGAAATCTGGTAATAAGTGCCCATTGACTTCTATGCAATAATAAAGTTTTTGCTTGAATCTATTCCTGACAGTTTCAAGCATGTTTTGAATTATTTGTCTATTTTCAGCCGTAATTCGCTGACGAAGATCTTGACTGGAATCTGGCTTCTTACCAAAAACTTTACTTTTCAGATGCCTTCAAAGAAAGTAATCTATAGGAGTGTTCGAAAACTGTCGTACTGGACCCACATAGTGCGGCGGTGTGCCATTTTGTTGGAAATGAATGCAATTTTCAATATAATTAACGTCGTCTTCTATTGCTCCGCCAATTCGTGGCTTTCTTGTATTATCTAATATGTCCAAGTACATTTCCAGGAATAAAGAAAGGTGTCACGTGCCAAAATCACGTAACTTTTTTTTACTATTTTGATCCCTTACCAGTGATTTGAATTTCTCTTTATTGATTATAGAGTGATTTTTAGGCCAAACCCTTTCTAATGATTTTCAATTAGCAAATTTCATAGTTAATTGGTTGTGTAATTTCACACGTATTATATATTTCTTTCTCAGCGGTTCAGTATTGTGTTGAAATCTTTTGGACACTAATGTTATAGTATTATTAACGACTATCTTAGAAATTTCTTCTTCTTTCTGTTAAAATTTGATTTACTACCAGGATAGCTTCTTTACCGGCTTTTCTCCGTTCCTTTCGATTTTCTATTGAACATACATTCTTCAAGGCCACTCATCTTACCTTTTAAAAATTCAGGTGTTCTGCGTTATTTTTACTTTCTTGTGGAGATTGTGGTGTGGGCGTTTTTTCGTTAACTTCCAGATTTTGGGATATTAACCCCCCAAGCACCAGTTTATGGAGTAGTACCCTTTTATTTTGTACCTTACGTTTAGTTGTTTTAGTTTGGGTACTACCCGTCCATTTTCTAATAAGATTTTATCCTCCAGCGGTAGGTTCTCTTTGGTATACCATCGGACTACGTCCATTAATGCTTGTCCTGAAGAAGTTTGTTCAATATCTGCTTCCTTTTAATGGACAGCCTTTGCGGAGAACCACCATTAACGCATTAAACAACAGAGCAGTAGCTCTTGCAATACTCAATTTTATTAATATGTTTGATTTCTTTTAGTAGTAGCGCTGAAGGATTTCACCAACTTGGAATATAATTTATCATTATTTAATCCATTTAAAAGAGGTACCAGCATCCCCTCAACAGTATGCGGAAGAAAAAATTCATAAGATATATATCATTCTGAATGCGACTCCTGCAACAACTTCAAGCGTTTGTAAACTTTCAATAAAGTCGCTCAGCCTAGTTAATAACATTTTACACAGTGTGACAAATTATTTTTAAGACTGGCGTCATATCTCAGCAACGAGTGGTGCCAACTGGAAAAATTCAATTGCATTACAAAGGTAGAGATTCGCCAGAAGATGACGAGCCAATTTCAATTCGAAAACCAGAAATGATTGAAAAAGTACGCGATTTTGTTGCAAATGATCTCAACGCTTCACTGAAAATGATGGAAGAGGCGCTGACCATCAACCGAGAGATGATTCGGACCATTGTTCACAAGGATTTGCGCAAAACAAAAGTCTGTGCAGAATTTGTTCCACACACTTCATCAACAAAAATCATTGAGAATTGCCCATTCCAGTTGTTGCAGCCACTAGAAATGATCCAAACTTTATGAAATCGATTGTTACGGCTGGTGAAACATGGTGCTTTCAGTACAATCCCACAACCAAGCGTCAAAGTGCGGAATGGAAGTCGAAAAATTCACCACAAGCCAGAAACTCGCGAAAAGTGCCTTCAAAAAACAAGACAGTGTTAAGTTTTAATGCGTTCGATGGCCAGAATCTGTCGCATCTGTCCCGAATATTGCAAGATAACGCGCCATCTCACAATTCTGTAATTGTTCCTTAATTTTTAGCCCGAAATAGAGTTTGTGTGCTTAATCATCCGCCATATGCGTCTGATTTGGCTCGACGCGACTTTTCTTTATTTACGAAATTGAAATTTAAGTTGAAAGGATGCTTTCTCTGACCATCTAATCAGCTTTAATACGGGCACTAGAGGCAATACCACAAAATGAGCTGGACCAGGCAGTTGCATCACTTTTAAATCGAAGTAACAAGTGTATTGAAGCAAGAGGAGATTATATTGAATAAATAAAACAATAAGTACGAAAATATGTTGTTAGTATCCCATTTTAAATACCCAGTCTCAAAAATTATTTGTCGCACTGTACTTCCATGGTTTACTGATGTTGCTACTGTTTTGTCCGATATACCAGGAGACGCAATATGTCTCATTATTTGAAAAACATTTCCTGGAAAAAGAGCTTACAGAACTATAAGGCTTTTCTTCGTTTGGTATCTAACCTCAAAACACTTGACATTTTCCAACTTTTGACGATGTTCATCTAATAACTGTTTTTATTGTCCAATGAAAGCAAAATTACTCTGTTTAAAATACATGGTAAAAAATGACTTACCAAGGTTCATAAAAGACCATAGCTAACAATTTTCATATAACATATAGTAAAAGCAACGTGCTTCCATGCGTTGCCCAAAGTTTAAAAGCCTTCTCGATTTTTTTTTGAATGTTTATGGATGTAATTTTGCAGTTATATTAGAAATCATTGTTATCATATAATGTACCTGAAATAAGTTGAACTAGCCTTGTGAAATTATTTTTACTTTCCACGCCACACTGGCGACGAATTATTGTAATGACGAAAAATGAGATATTGAGTTTTTTTGGATATTATATGATATTATATGATATGCGACAATGTACGAGGTGAGCGCCATATTATCTGGATGCAATTCAATATTATTTGATTTCGTGACGTAATATTATAATCGGTTATCAAATATTGTTGATAGGCAATTTCAAGCCAGAGCCAGAACTCCAAACGAATGAGGCTCCCGCTCATAGTTGCAATCACAAGCCATTTTTTTCCATGAACAGCCCAAGTAGTGCATTATTCATTATTGGTTTTGACCTACGTCTTTTTATACAGTTGCACTACATGGAAAATTGTACTAGATGTTGTTTCGAAGGAGTGAGAAGTATAGTGTCAACCTACTTGACGCTATTTTTTTTGAAATACAAACATTTTTTTCAGTTCCTGTGGAATTGATTAAAAGTGCAGTATGAATGTTTTCAGTAAGACTTCTAAAATCATCAGCTCCACCCTATATTCGAAATTCAGCAATGATAATTCAGATGACCATTCCAAACCTCAGATTAATCTAACGTATCTACTTGCCTTGTTGCGATGGTCTAAATTCCTTATCATATACATGATAAGCAGAAGCGTGGGCTAGAAGTACATATTTTGCGCAAAGATACTCTCCTAATCCTCCAGATGTAATGCCTGGTGCTCCAATGCCAATTCCATATCCAGCATGACAGATCTGTTTAGGTTCGTTGATTGTGGCCCAGTGCTTCACTAGTGGTCCAAAAAGTTGGAAACACAATCGCGCATAGTCCGTGAACCACCCTACGATGTTGTTGTTCATCCAACCTAACAGTTCAAGTAAAGAGCTCTATTTAATAATAATCAAGGACTTCATTAAAGCACATCAGAGAGGCGAAGTATAGACATAGGACTGCTGTTACACTTAACCTTACTGAGTAAAAAAGTAACAAACATATTGAATATAAACAAAAAAAGTACAAACAAGAAAAATGTCAACAATAACCTCGGGCAAAGTCGGCGCAAAGCCAAATAGATCCCGGTGGATAAATTGAACAGGCCTCTATAACCTTTTTATATGACCTCGTGAAAGAATAGTTGTATACTGCGAAAGTTTGGGAAATCTCGAGACTGGAGATACTGCAGACCAAAATATGTGAATTGACCTAAACATACTTCAGTCCAAAAGTTGATCGTTTGCGAGATACAGGGTATCAAAGTTACAATTTTATTTTCTATTTTTGCTTATTGCTTGAGAAGTATTTCAGATTTTGGCATAAAACTCGCTTTAGGAAGAAACAAGAATCCGTTATTTTTTATGACCAAACTTCTAGTGTGCGCCACTTACAGCACTATTTCGGTAAATAACTTATCATAACTTTTTTGTGTATACAACAACTGACCAAAAATTTTTTTTTCTCGTATTTCCGCAACAAAAAAGATTTACTTGTTAAAAGTGTCTAAAGCTAATAGTTTTCGAGATATTTGATTTTAAAAGTTCCAATACATTATTTGTACCATGATGATGAAGCATTTTTATAACATAATAATCAAGTTGCTTTGGATAATATCTGAGTAGCTTTGCTATGGTTTTTGACAATAACAAATGAGGATGGCAACAAAACTAATAAACGGAAATAATAACTGCAAAAATTGTTCAAAATGAGCACCCCCTTACCTAACACACTCTCGAGCTCGACGAAATAATCCTTGCCGCGCTCTCCAAAGCATTTAGATGTTATTTTTCATTTCCTGGATATGGTGGAAAATTCTTTGTCGAAGATCATCTCCAGTTTACACTGGCGTATTGTAATCGCGTCGTTTTAAATTACCCCAGAAAAAGAAATTGATAGGATTTAAATCTGGTGATCTATCCGGCCACGATACATGTCCTGATCGGCATATCCACTGGTCTGGATAAACTCTATTTAGGTGCTGTCTAACTAATATATTAAAATGAGGTGGAGCGCCGTCGTGCATAAACCACATATTCATGCGTGTTTTTAATGGAAGATCTTCCATCCATCTAAAACATTTGAATAAAGCTACCTAAAATCCAAATGGTGTTTATTATTCAAAATAAGGCTATAATCATTTCTTACCAGTTTTTCGTAACCGCTGATCGATTTGTTCTAAAGTCTTTGAAATAGGTAGGTGTCTATTAACATAGGTAATCTGTCAGCGTACAATCTTCGTGCTTTTAAAACATTACATCTTGCCAATCCGTACATTAAATTGCATATCAGAATATTCATCAAACGTATACTCCATGATGTAACTTATTGTCAACTTAAAATTATTCATGAAGTTTAAAGCAATATTATGACAAACATTAGAAACCATAGCCACGCTACTCAGATGTTATCCAAAGCAACTTGATTATTATGTTATAAAAATGTTTTATCATCATGGTCACAAATAATGCATTGGAACTTTTAAAAACAAATATCTCGAAAACTATTAGCTTTAGACACTTGTAACAGGTACGCCTTTTTTGTTGTAAAAATGCACCAGAATAAGATACTCCAGTCAGTTGTTGTATACATGGTAGCACAAAAAAGTTATGATAAGTTATTTACCGAGATATTTCTGTAAGTAGCGCCCTCTAGAAGTTTGGCTATAAAAAATAACGTATTCTTGTTTCTCATACTAGAAAACCTCCCTATACCGAGTTTTATGCCAATATCTGAAAAACTTCTTAAGCAATAAGGAAAAATATAAAATAAAATTGTAACTTTGACACCGTATATCTCGCAAATTATCAAATCTTGGACAAAGGTATGCTTACGTCCATTCACTATTTTGGTCTGTAGTATCTCCAGTTTCGGGATTTCCCAACCTTTCGCAGACACCTGTATAAAAGTTACAGGGTCTCATCTGTTTTGTGTACCGGGTGTCTCCGGAATATGCTATGAATAAAGTTGTATCTTTTTGAATGGAACGCCCAGTATATTATTGACAAGTAATAAGAAAAAAAATAATGTGTTGGGCGCCTATCATGACGCTCTGTGGTACGTCTCGGTGGACCAGTTGGCCTTCTTCGTGTTCCTCTACCTTCTTTTATCCACACACGACACACGCATTACCGGCATTGCAGCACAATTAACACGCCGGCCAATTTCGCGATAGGAGAAACCAACATCCCGGTGGCCATAATTCTACTCTTGTCAAAGTTGCTAATATGGTGATAATTTGGACGTCTCCGTACTGGAGGCATTTTGTTATGCTTAACACTAGTAAATTAAAGGGCAATAACTAAGAATATATGTACTACTCAGCTCTCAGAAACTGCTTTCTTCACAATAACTAAGATGTTACCATCATAATTTTTGGGACCGAGGCAAGCAGTCCCTGCCCAGTGACGTGCCCACTACTGGCTGCCTCCTTTGTCGTTTTCCAGACTCTGGGATATAAGGCCCCAAGCACCCATTCATGGACTAGCACCCTTTCGATTTTGTTGCGTAACTTAAGTTTAGTTATTTTGGTTGCTACGTCTTCCATTTTTTATGGGATTTTGACCCTCAGCGGTAAGTCCTTTTTTTATATACCTTCGGACAGCGTGCCTTAATGCGTGTCCTGATGACGTTCATTCAATATCTGCTTTCTTTTTGTCAATAGAAACAGATCTTCTTTAAGGCCACTCAAGATTCCTTCCTCTAGAACGTTACGTATTCGGTGATTCGCTTTTCAGCTTTCGTTGAGGTCGTGGTCCAGGGGTCTCTTTGTCGTTTTCCAGACTCTGGGATATAAGGCCCCAAGCACCCATTCATGGACTAGCACCCTTTTCTTTTGTTGCGGAACTTAAGTTTAGTTAATTTGGGTGCTACGTCTTCCATTTTTTATGGGATTTTGACCCTCAGCGAAACAGAAGCAAATCCTCGTCTTTTCTCCCCCAGTCAGTAGCATCGTTGCAGTTTTGCAAATTGGAAGCCATCCCCTTGATAACATTTTAACAAAGGTAAACGAAAACAAAGATAAAACGTTCACATTCTTGCCACAGCATGCTGTAAATATAGTCATTATGTTGCAAAAAAACAAGTTAAAGAAATTATTTTTTTCTGGGTGCACTTCTAATCTCACCGAGTATATATATAGTTTGTTGAATTTATGTTTATTACTTTAGTCAACAACTTGGTCTGTCTATCATTTAATCATATGTGTTTCGGCCCTACACCGGATTACATAGGCGGCTAGATGCAAACTGTTTCGAACTCTAGAACACATAGGTAAATGACAAGTTTTTGGCCAAATCAAGGAAAATAAGTATAATAAGCAATATATATTTTCAATCAGGAAATAATTTTTATAGAAAATATATAGGGTGCTCCATTTAAAAAAATACAACTTTATTCGATAGTACCTCATATTAGGCCCTAGACTTTTATATAAAACTTTTTTCTCCTGGAAGGTCATATACCTAATAAATTTAGAGGGGTGGCAATTAATGGCCGGACACCCAGTACATCGCATTGCTGGAGTTAGTCTATTCACTAATTGGTTACCAATAGATTAGAATGTGGGGTCGAAAAAAAGGATAAAAGGGCAAAACGTAGCCTTCTTGCCAGGCTTCGATAAAATTGCCCGTCTCCCCTACTGTTGGGAGTTGTCGAGACTCGATTTAAAAAATCTCGTTTGAGCTCGATGTTCGCAATATTCGGTGTTGTCTACATGTTCCACTGTTCTCATCTCGACTTTTTTGTATGGGCAATATAAGCAAACGTTTGCAGAGCAGGAAAACGATTGGAATACACTTGCGAAGCTTCAACAGCATGTTGAAGATTCTAATCGTAAACCTTCACATCGACAAGTTCGTTATTGCTATAGGATTGTGCCATTTTCGGGTTTTCATATCAGATGTATAAGAAAATAGCTTGATTTATCAGCAAGATGCCAGATTTTATCCTTTCGCTAGAGACAGGATAACATTCGATGTAGATTCTTACAGCAGTTATATCAAGTCTCTAGAGCAGGCGTTATAAGTAAAATTTACTTATCGTTACAAGAACTATACGCCCTGTAATTGAAAGTTTCAACTTCAAGAACATTTTGTACGTATAGCCGTGATGCCAGACAGATTGCATAGGGCATAACTCACTTTGAGCAGATGAATATGATAAATTCGAAGAAGAGAAAAAAGGTTCAGGTAGGCACTGTTTCCACTCTTTAGAAGGGTAACGGGGCATATTTACTTAAAAATAGGAAGCATTATGATGGAAAGCTTTTGATGTCTAAAATCGGACTAACTTGATCTTAAGGTCGCATGTCGCTTTTTTCAACTGCCCGTTTGGAGCAGTATAATAAATTCTTTTCATCTAATTATTTCATGGTGTGTATAGAGATGACTAAAAAATAATGTTATCAATGTTTTTGTCAACAAATGAATTTTTGTGAATTGTATCGTGCATTCTCTCTACAGTCGTATCACATATTAGTACTAGTCTGAAATTGAATGTCAAAATTCCATTGAGCGGGGATTATTTTATTCTTATGACTTTTACTCACAGAAAAATTTTTGATTTCCTTCAAACCTCATTTTGCAGCAAACTGAGTTTTCAAGAAAAGCAAGATTTTTGGATGAGAAAAAGTGATAAGAACAAAGTAATCACCCGCCCAGTTCTTCCATAAAAGTGGAATATTCACATATAAGTTTTGAGCTATTTGCCAACAGTGTACGATTGAAGAAAAAATGCATAAAAATGTACAAAAATGCGTTTTTGGCAAAAAAGAATCATATAACATTGCTTTTTAGCCATCTACTCACACACCATGAAACAATCACGCTAAAAGTATTACGAATAAATACTCCTCCAGACATGTGGTTTAACAAAGAGATGGATATGCGACGTTAAGATTCTGCTTGCACATTCACCTTTTTTACATAGAAGCAAGCTCAATGTTCAATAGAGATGGTCGTTGAGTCAGATTCGCTTGTACTTACCGCCTTGATTCTGGAGTGCAGTCGGAAGATCCCAATGGTAAATTGTGACCATTGGTTCGATACCATTACGGTGAAGCTCTTGTAAAAGATTCATGTAATAGTCGATACCCTTCTGGTTTATATTGGCCAAGGTACCGTCAGGCAAAATTCGGGACCATGCGATTGAGAACCTGGTAGCAACAATAATTTTAGTGTTTGATTCGTCTAAGCTTGGACTATTCTGTTTTATGGAAGATGCTATAAACATCCAGGGTATAGTCAGTAAAGCCTGAATATCGGCATCCTACAGCTGTTAAAAGGAAGTTACGTAGAGGTTGTAAATTTGGAATTTCTCCTGATTCCTCTATCCAGATGTCAGACGAAGTTATAATTTTTGTACTAACCTGTAAAAATGTACTCCTACTTTTTTCATTATAGCAACATCATGTTTATATTTGTGGTAGGAATCTGAAGCTACATCACCATTGCTGCGATCTATGATCATTTCGGGACGCGTGTGGGTCATTGTGTCCCATATCTGTGAAGCAAATTATACAGAGTTACTGGTAATTTGCCATTGTTCCTCTATGGTGTGATAAGTTGTCTACAATGTAATAAATCTGACCATATTAATAAACAGGGTGTTCATTTGAAAACTTTCCACCACGGATTTACCGAAAACCACTGAATAATAGAAAAATCGTCAAGACACGTCAAAACATTTCTCAAGGGGGACAACTCTTTAACCAAAAACTACTTCACCCCCTTTCAGCCTCTGCCCCCTAGGGTCATCCACTTTAAAATTTCTAACGACAAGGGATATCGAGTAACAGCTTGTTTGAAAGGTCTTTCGAAGTCCTTCATTTTGACGTTTGATTTCTTAACATTGGACGATTCGTTTTCAAGAAAATTAGAAAAATCTTTATTTCTCTTAATTTGTTCAGATAGAAAACAAAAACACACAATATCACTTTTTATTTCAATAAATGCTCAAAATGTTTCTCCTTATTGGCAAAAAAATGATATAGGCTATGTTCAAATTCCTGACGGACATTTTCAAAAACATATTGTGCGATATCATGACAGCTTTCGATGATGCGTTGACGAAGTTCATCCAAACTTGCAGGTTGAGGAGTAAGCACAAGAGATTTCAAATGGCCACATAGAAAAAAGTCTAATGGCGTCAACTAAGGAGATCTAGCAGGCCATTCTATAGCCCCTCTTCGCCCTATCCATTTATCTGGAAACTCGTTGTCTAGCCATTGCCGAACCGTAAGTACATAGTGAGGAGCGCCGTCTTGTTGGGAATATATTTCAGCCTCATCAAGTATAGGGTTTTCATCGTCTTCGATTTGGTTTTCAATAGATTCAGTGATAAGAGAAATGATGAGTACTTTCCGACATATCCAAATAAATTAATGTCTCCGTTCAAATTTCCATTAATAAATAATGGCCCAGTCACTTTGTTTCCTAAAATGCCTGCCCATACATTAACTTTTGGGGGTACTGGGTATGCCCTTGTACAAAAGCATGAGGATTTTCATTGCTCCAATATCTGCAGTTATGCTTATTAATAAATCCATTTAGATAAAATCCATTCATCACTAAAGCAGATATTCTTGACATTAATGGCATTATCATTAATCGCTGCAGTCATTTGTTCACAAAACTCAACTCGCCTGTCGAAATCATCTTCGATTAACTATTGCAATATTTTCATTTTGAATGGATGAGATTGACGGAGTTTAGAAACTGTATATACAGAGCCTAATGAAATTCCAGTCGCAGCAACAATTTTGCGTAATGAAGTATTATGATTCATTCCAAAATGACCCAAAACTTCAACTTGAGCGACTTCATCCAAAACTCTCCGACGATCTCGTTTTTTATTTGCAGCATATCCAGTTTGAGTAAATTTAGTAACAAGGTCCGAAACATACCTATGTGAAGTTATCTTCCTCGCATGTCTGGCGTTAAACGTGACTGCAGTTTGCTGAGCACATTAATTTGGGCACCATTAATCTGAATCAATAAATTAATTTTCACTATCCCAAGATTGTCGCAAAGGTAACTGACAGCAAATTAAATTGTTTCTTTCTTTTAGCATCAAATAACTGAACAGGTATAACAATAAATATATTTCGCCCAGGATATCTGTGTTGATGGAAAGAATGCGGAAAAAATTCGGGTTGTTATTTGGTTGTTGCCACTTCTAATCTTCCGAATTGCTGTTTATGTTGGTAGTTTCCGTTTTAAATTATAAACGAATTGTAGATTTGTCAAACCCTAACGGGCAACATTTTGAACACTTATTGAAATAAAAAGTGACAGTTTCGTGTGTTCTGGCTTTCTATCTGAACAAATTAAGATGAATGAAGATTTTTCTAATTTTCTTGAAAACGAATGGACTGATTCAAAAAAATCAAACGACAAAAGAAAGGACTTCGAAAGACCTTTCAAACAAGCTTTTACTCGATACCCCTTGACACTTAAAATTTTCAAGGGAATGACTCTGGGGGCCGAGGGTGAAAGCAGGTCAAGTAGTTTTTGGTTAAAAAGTTGTCCCCCTTGACAAATATTTTGAAGTGTCTCGGCGTTTTCAAATGAACACCTTGTATGAATGGTCGAAAATCAGTAGCTCTGAATTATTCTACCAAGGTAAGCCCACATTCTGAGGTGTTCTCTTTTTTTTGACATTGCTTATGATCAAAAGAAGTATCCTCTAAAAGCCATATACTCGGATAGGCTGGAGTCATGTGAAGGGGCCTCCGTTGAATAGGTGAGGCGTTTTGACGACTTTATGAGCCTCCCCTCCCTTGGTAAGATGTCACGAGATTTGGCTCGATCCACCTCATGGCCTAATCTCACGTAAGACCTTTCGAAACTTCTATTGATGATTTGCTTCATTATCTCTGTTTACTACTTAAAATCAGCATTTCAGATTGTTTAGACAATATAACATCGCTTTGATAAAATAAAACGGTGCAGGCAGCAGCGGTGGCGAAGAGGTAGACGGTATGGATCTAAATACTAATCAGTCGCCGTGCGATGTGCTAGTCCGAATTCCGCCCCAATTGAATTTTTCTGTGGGCTATGGGTGTTGTGTCTGTCCGTAGGTGGCAGACGGTATCTGACTGTCGAATGCGGAGGTACCACCCGGCATATCTCATAGGCGGGGCCAGAAGGTGTGCAGGTTGCATGCACACGTGTTCCCTCGGTAGGGTCAGTGTGGCGTCCCCTCTTTCCCCTGTATCTCCCTATAGCCCCACGGTACCTCATGGGTGTTTAGGCCATGGTGGTTGGAGTATCAAAGAATAACAACTGAAATGCTCAAATATAGTAAAATTGTTTAAATGTCTTGCAATTTTACACTGGTGGGAAAAAATTACATGACAGAATAATGGACGCTCCCTAACCTGTAAATATAGGCATACTCGGCGATCTCAAGTTGTCATGGAGGCATCTGCTCCGTTACGTCCAGCCTATGTGGAACTACTCACGAAGATCATTCGCCGAAAGGGGAATGATAGATTGAGGTAGATCTTGGTTACGCTTCCGCTAAATAAATGACCTCTTACCAAATATGGACCTAACAAAATCGATATAATGAGTTAATAAGGATAGTCTGTAAATATAAAATACCTGCAGACAAAAATGGACAAAATGCAAAGTGCCATCACTTTGTAGCAAACTGTAGTTGGTCAACAAATAAGTATTCTGATAATACGTTTTATTGTCTAATTCATTTTATGATTCTTATAAAATAATCAGCTACTTGGTGCCGCGTACATGACATTGCAATTAAAATTACGCGCTCCAGACATGCTTATTACAATGAAATCAAGGCCAAACGTGTCAACTATAAACTTTTTATACAGATTTATTTTTCTATTGAAAGTATTAACTTAATATGTTTGAGATAATTGATAGCATCCACTTGATGAGTATGCTTGAAAGATATGCGAATTTGTGGAATTATACATTGAAAATCAAATACCTCTGACGTCGTAATGTGTACGAGAGAGATGCGCAAGAAGCGTGCAATACATGTGTTAGAAAGAGATAGAAACACCTCGCTGCCTAGAAGCCAGAAAGACAAAGTCACGGACGCCATCGTCGCACTCTTTCCAACATACTAACTGGATGCTTCTCGCGCTTCTCTCTGATGCACATTACGACTTCAGTCAAATTTAAACCTCAACGTATAAATTGAATTTGAGTTAAAACTAACAAAACCTAATGATACCTAATAGGTAAATATGTTTACACGGTACACAGTATCAAATTAGATTCTAAATATTCTTCAATATGCTTCTACGAGGAAACTGCTTTTTGAGTCCTCAGAAAGTTCTTTTGTTTCCACACTAAGCTGATACAAAAATTTGTGACGCTCGTTAGAACCATTGACTAACGTAATTTTTTTGTTAGAACACAACGTTGAGGTTATTATATCTTTTAATACCCTGAAAAACAAAGTTGATTGGAAACTAGAAAGATATTTGAAAATATAGAATGTTTTTCGTTTATGTTCCCGTTGCCATTACACGAAATTTATTGAAATGCCACTTTTCATGATCTCGGGTCTCACGCACCGCTGCTTACAGCATCAAGTGGTGGTAAATGGACGCGTACTCCGTAGATGTTTAGATTTATCTGTTCTTTTCAACAATGAATTTCCGATTGTCCCAAACGGTCATAAATATATAGCAGACCTTATCAGAGCAGCTTATAGCAAGGGGACATCATATCATTAATTTGTATGGATGACTGAATATAGCCTCTGAAAGACAGAGCTTGCTTGTTGGAAATATAACATAATTTTTTGAAAGGATCGACCCGCTACACGCGGGAGTAATGTAATTTGTAGAATGAATGAGGCACAATACATCAAAAAGACTATAGGGACGAGAGAGAGAAGTGCGAGAAGTGTGTATCAACACATGTTAGAAGAAGATAGATGCTGGCTGAAGAGCCAATAAGTTAGGTTACTTTGATTTATTCTAGAATTATCTTTGATATTGTTATACTTTGCGAAAGCGCTGCGGTTGGAAAATGTAACAAATAACGTTACGGAATACAAATTATCACTGCCTGCGTGTACACACGTGAAAACCATTTCGAAGCAATGATGCAATGTTGGAGAATTTGTGACGATCCTGGCCATTCATTTCGACCTAAAATGTAGCGCCATTAAGACCGATGCTGAGTCGATCCTAAACAGACACAATTCGTAATAAAATGCTTACGCTCAAAATAAAGCCATTATTTGGCGTGGAGAATAAACTAACGCGTAGTTTCAACATGCATCTTAAATCAAGGAACTGGTGTAACATACTGGCAACGCGGCAATTTGCCGCATCAGCGTTGCTAGGCGGCATATGTGTCTATACATACTCTCTCGTACACATTGAACTCAAGCCAACAGACAAATTTGGTTTTCAATGTATATAATGCATATTGAGATGTGGTCACTATGCAATCCTATCGTCATTTGGCTAGAATTGTGTCAAATATAAATATATATGAAAAAATAAAATTTTCCGTGCTATATTTCAGTAGTCTAGCTTGTTTGAGCATACTCGCGTCTGCTACTAAAATTACTATGTGTTTGTTGATGACGTCATCAAGTTATTTGTTTATAACACACACAATTTTGTGAAACGACGAAAATTTTACTTTTCAAGAATTGTATGAGAACGGAACATATTAGTATCTATACTTGTACATCCTTTCCATAAATTACTGTTGAGTGGATCGAATTATGCAAACTTCTTTACGCTCAAATTGATCAAATACAGCTCAGAGACATTCCGGCTACTCACAAATTTTAAGCATTGTTAGCGATATATTATGCAACCATAGAAGGCTTGCGTGGCTTCAGGATTTTCGAAAAACTCATATTTCCACTATGCCCCAGAATAACCAGAAAATAGGAAAACTTCAAATAAAAAAAAAATTGCATTGTTTAGGTGTTGGCCCCCATGAGATTTTGTACTACGTCAAAAACTCGAAAAACATTCAAAATATTAATTTTTTTCACGTTCTCAGATTTGCCTATTTTATTTATTTCTGCGCGCTTACCGGTGAAAGTGTTCAAGGTGTTCTATCATTGACATAACAGTACCTTTATGTCAAAATTGTATTATAATCGGTACAGTAACTTCATAATAAATTATAGGAAAAGAGGACCTCGTAGCCTCTTTGCTTATTTTAAACGCCCTTGTACGAATTTAATACAGCCATTCACATGCAGAACCTGCTTTATTCAATCACTTGAACGATTAACAATATACAGGTGAACGAAAACACAGTCCGACCTGTACCGCAATGTCTGCGGGTGCTTCTGGCTGAAACGAGCGCCTCGACAGCTTGGGTCATTTGGTGCTTTCTGTACTAGAATCGGCGTTGCCCTGCGTGCGCATAAATTCCACTCGTCTGATATATAAATATTAGCCAGAGTGATTCTACTGGCCCTATACTGTGATAATATCTATGATTTAAAAAATTGAGAATGTCTAAGGGGGATTGAAATACTCACATTTTCGCCTTTGCCATCCTCATTCCAAGCACCTTCTACCTGATAAGCACATGTTGCTACACCGAATTTGAACTCAGGTGGAAACCTCTTCCTCGATATCTGATAGTTCCTGAACTCATCATCTCCATCGCTAGTACTAAAAAAATACGTGTTGATGTTGATTTGCCATGCGAATATTTTCTCAAATATTTTACTAATCCCACCGATAAAGTTTTAGTATTTACCCTTACGTGATTGGTTGCATTAATCATCATGGAATTTGAACTATGCACATATGACGATTTAGAAAAAAATCAAATCAAGATCCAGTAAACTATTCGGGCAACCCAAATCTGTAATTTATTTTCCTATACAATGAGCTGGTGCTACGCCACAATTTAATGTTACTTGTAAAATTTGTGTTGTTGGAATTCCAATTTACAAGTTGAGACTTTATGATTTACCTACAGCAGAATTATTACCTTAGAGACAGTAAGCTCAAAAAAATAAATACAGCACGTCCACATCCCATTTTACGGCTACACTAGTAAAATATTACCCTTATGAAGCTATATATTACCCATCCACATCAAGTTATCCTTGGCAGTAGAGATAATTCATAAGTGATCCATTGATTACGGATAAATATTTTATGTATGCAAATTGTTAGTGAACATTTTGAATGACACTCATTACCACAATTGGATGATGGTTATCTGGCATATATTTTCGTAACTGATATGTGTTTTAATATTAACTTTATGCCAAGTCCGATGCCTAAATTTTTGTTTCTTCTTAGCAACCTGACGACTGGGCAGAAACGTGAATAAGAATTGATAGGTTTTATACGCGTCAGTTCCTACTTTTCACCTCGCTTTTCATCCCGTCAACTCCGTTTAGTCTAACCATTTTAGACGAAAATACCCCTGATTTTTGAAATAATTGTAAAGTCTGGTTTTATTGCTGCATGTTGTTCAAGGGGTATTTAAAACATGGTCGCATAAAATGGGTACACCAATTTTTGTGGGAAAACTTTTTATTCAACAACAAAGAATGAGAACAGAAAAACTCTACACATAAGATTCTTAGGTATCTATGAGATCTACAAAATGAGACCATACGTAAAAAGATCCGACAAACAGCAAAAAAGTTATGGCCGAAAACCGAGGCAAACTGCAGGTTTCGGCACTTGTTAGTAATGGGACAATGGTTTCTCGCAGATACTTGAAATATTTCAAATTCGTAGGATTCGTACTACTAAATAACCACAACAAAATTGGAGTAGATTGGTCAATTAGTTTTTGAGAATTTCTAATTGTTTATCCGAAAACACCTGTTTCCCGGCCTTCACTACTAGTTTATTGAGCAATATAGAGGGTTTGTTCAAAGGACATTTTATAGCAAAATACACTAGTTTACCTTGCCTTTTATGCAAAAAGGATGTTTTTTCTTCTAAACAAATTCAAACATAACGTATTTATGAGTAATTCGCAACAAAAGATGGTAGACAGTTCCGCTTTGTTTTAAAATGTATTTAGTAACGTTTTTTTCGAATATCGTAGGGCATTTGTTCAATTACACAAAAATACGAAATGTTGGAATTTGTTTAGAAGAAAAAAACGTAACCTTTGTTTTTCGCATGAAAATAACATTTATCTATCGGAATGGTTTGTGATTTATATCGACAAAGTAAATACGTGAATTTTCCTATTAAATGCTCTTTGAACAAACACTGTATATTGCTCAATAATCTAGTAGCGATCTCAGGAAAACAGGTAAAACCTGCTTGACCAATTTTTGTTTTTGCTATCTGGAGGTATCAATTCAACGGATTTGGAGAATTTCAAGTATTTGCGTGAAATTATCGTCGCATTACTAAGTGCCAAAACCTGCATTTTGTCTCGTTTTTCCGCCATAACATTTTTGCTATTACTCGGATCTTTTTACGTGTAATCTCATTTTGTAGGTTTCATAAATACTTAAAAATCTTATCTGAAAAGTATTTTCGGGCCTGTCAACTTTCGATTGAATGCCAAAAAACACGTTTTCTCATTCTTTGTTGTCAAATAAAAAGATATCCCACAAAACTTAGTGAACCCATTTCTTACTTTCATGTTTTAAATACCCCCATGAACACCTTGCACCAATAAAACCATACTTTACAATTCCTTCGGGGAAATTTGCTAACATGATAAGACTATTTATGCCCTAGCGCAGTAGAGTACAATACAAGTACAGTATGGTCAACATGACCTTATTTATTCGCTGCTACTACTGCAACTACTATCACTAATAAATAAGGTCAATTTATTTTTATTTCTAATTCTACTTTACAGGTGGTATAAATCTTTAACCTGATTGCCTCAGAAGATGGGTTATGTTTTTCGCAGGTGGGTATGTGTGTACTCGTATGTGGCAAAAAATTTACAGGCGACTGTATAGATTTTGACATATGAGGTGTTGTTGGATTCATCGTAGCAGTGCAAGTGGCACTGTTTATATTAAAATTAAACAAAAATACAATAACCGATTTTTATAAACATCTTCAATCTTGAAATCTCTATTTCACAGGCTACAGCTTAAACTGCTTGGTGGATTTTGTCATATGAAGTGTAGTAGGATTTGGGTTAACAATGCGAGCAATACTGCCTATACTAAGATTTTATAGAAACAAACTTGCGGATTTTAGTGAAAAAATTCAACCTTAAAATTCTTATTTGACGAGGCACAGCTTAAACGGTTTGATGCATTTTGACGTATGAGATGTTTCTGTAAGTGCGAGTGTCACTGGGTATACTAAAAATGTATCAAAACAAAACGGCAGATTTAACAAAAAATCAAACCTGAAATTATTGTTTCACGAGGCACAGCTTAAATGGCTGGATGGATTTTGACGTATGAGATGTTTCTGTAAGTGCGAGTGACACTGGGTATACAAAAAATGTATCAAAACAAAACAGCAGATTTAACAAGAAATTAACCCTGAAACTATTATTTTACGGGGCACAGGTTAAACGGTTTGATGGATTTTAACATATGACATCTTACTGTAAGTAAGAGTGACACTGGGTATACTAAAGATGTATCAAAACAAAACGGCAGATTTAACAAAAAATCAAACCTTAAATTATCATTTTACGGGGCACAGCTTAAACGGCTTGATGATTTTGACGTATGAGATGCTTCTGTAAGTGCGAGTGACACTGGGTATACTAAAAATGTATCAAAACAAAACAGCAGATTTAACAAAAAATCAAACCTGAAATTATTGTTTCACGGGGCACAGCTTAAATGGTTGGATGGACTTGAACGTATGAGATGTTTCTGTAAGTGCGAGTGTCACTGGGTATACTTAAAATGTATCAAAGCAAAACGGCAGATTTAACAAAAAATCGACCCTGAAATTCTTATTTCACGGGGTACAGCTGAGACGGCTTGATGGATTTTGACGTATGAGATGCTTCTGTAAGTGCGAGTGGCACTGGGTGTATTAAAAATGTATCAAAACAAAACGTCAGATTTAACAAGAAAACAAGCCTGAAATTCTTATTTCACACACAGCTTAAACGGCTTGACGGATTTTGACGTATGAAATGCTTCTGTAAGTGCGAGTGACAGTGGTTATACTAAAAATGTATCCAAACAAAACAGCAGATTTAACAAAAAATCCACCCCCTGACATCCTTATTTCACGGAGTACAGCTTAAACGGCTTGATGGATTTTGACGTATGAGATGCTTCTGTAAAAGCGAGTGTCAGTGGGTATAGTTAAAATGTATCAAAGCAAAACGGCAGATTAAACAAAAAATCCACCCTGACATTCTTATTTCACGGAATACAGCTTAAACGGCTTGATGGATTTTGACGTATGAGATGCTTCTGTAAAAGCGAGTGTAAGTGGGTATACTTAAAATGTATCAAAGCAAAACGGCAGATTAAACAAAAAATCCACCCTGACATTCTTATTTCACGGAGTACAGCTTAAGCGGCTTGATGGATTTTGACGTATGAGATGCTTCTGTAAGTGCGAGTGTCACTGGGTACACTTAAAATGTATCAAAGCAAAACGTCAGATTTAACAAGAAAACAAGCCTGAAATTCTTATTTCACACACAGCTTAAACGGCTTGACGGATTTTGACGTATGAGGTGCTTCTGTAAGTGCGAGTGACACTGGTTACACTAAAAATGTATCCAAACAAAACAGCAGATCAAACAAAAAATCCACCCTGACATCCTTATTTCACGGAGTACAGCTTAAACGGCTTGATGGATTCTGACGTATGAGATGCTTCTGTAAAAGCGAGTGTCAGTGGGTATACCTAAAATGTATCAAAGCAAAACGGCAGATTAAACAAAAGATCCACCCTGACATTCTTATTTCACGGAGTACAGCTTAAACGGCTTGATGGATTTTGACGTATGAGATGTTTCTGTAAGTGCGAGTGTCACTGGGTATACTGAAAATGTATCAAAACAAAACAGCAGATTTAACAAAAAATCAAACCTGAAATTATTGTTTCACGGGGCACAGCTTAAATGGCTGGATGGATTTTGACGTATGAGATGTTTCTGTAAGTGCGAGTGTCACTGGGTATACTAAAAATGTATCAAAACAAAACAGCAGATTTAACAAAAAATCTAACCTGAAATTATTGTATCACGGGGCACAGCCTAAATGGCTGGATAGATTTTGACGTATGAGATGTTTCTGTAAGTGCGAGTCTCACTGGGTATACTAAAAATGTATCAAAACAAAACAGCAGATTAAACAAAAAATCCGCCCTGACATCCTTATTTCACGGAGTACAGCTTAAACGGCTCGATGGATTTTGACGTATGAGATGCTTCTATAAAAGCGAGTGTCAGTGGGTATACTTAAAATGTATCAAAGCAAAACGGCAGATTAAACAAAAAATCCACCCTGACATTCTTATTTCACGGAGTACAGCTTAAACGGCTTGACGGATTTTAACGTATGAAATGCTTCTGTAGGTACGAGCGTCACTGGGTATACTAACAATGTATCAAAACAAAACGCAGATTTAACAAAAAATCAACCCTGCAATTATTATTTCACAGAGCACAGCTTAAACGGCTGGACGGATTTTAACGTATGAGATGTTTGTGTAAGTGTGTCACTGGGTATACTAAAAAT